TCAGCCTCTTGTGATTCTGTTTCTGTTTCAGGCATGATGACTCTAGTTTAAGAAAGACACTGTCTTTCAAACTCTACCACCAGGGAACCAGGGCCCCACAAAGGAGTTTACTGTTTAATTTAAAGGTGTTTCCTACCTGACATGAAGATTTAAATTACTTGCAGAACCTACTCATAGTCTTCTTTTTACTCTGTCTTTATATACTAAGATTCCAGCTAACATTTTTATTAAAAACGAAAAGAATTATGCTTAAGAAAAGTTTGAAAACTGCTCTGGAAAATTAGCTTAGAAGATAAGCAGGCTATGGGGGAATATTCCCGTATAAGAATTTTTATTCTTTGTGGGGGGTGGTGGTGAGCACCTGGTCCCAGCTACTGGGAAGGTTGAGGCGGGAGGGCTGCTTGAGCTCAGGAGTTTAAGGATACAGTGAGCTGAGGTTAGACCACTGTACCCCAGCCTGGGCGACGAAGCAAGACTCTGTCTCAAAAAAAAAAAAAACACTAAATATTCTTTGAAATAGCTTCATGGAAACACTGAAATTGAAATTTTAAAAAGGTGAGTAATAGCAGTGAAAGAGCATTGAGAATTATAAAGTGTCAACCAACTAAGATGCTCATGCCTGGGATCTGAGGTTGTGGTGAGCTGTGGCCCATCCTGTGTGGGTTCAGAGAGGCAGCATCTCATCTGTTAGGAAAGAACACGCCGGGCATGCCAGTTGGGGGTGCAGTCCTTTTCCAGAAGACTGCATTTTCTCAGTGCGGGCGTCGCCCACGCACACCTGCTGCATCTGCGTATAAGAAGCTCCACTGTGCTGGGCCCTGCGGCCAGAGAGATGTAGTGTCCCCTTTTAATAAGTCTTGGTTTTGGGATTAAAGCCAGACCAGGTTTCCTTGTACAGAAGGAATTTGACCCGCAGAAGGGAGGAATAGGACTTGCGGAGTCGGGTCCAGCTTCAGAAGCACCCTAGATTTCCTGGTGGGACTATGCGGAAGCTGGCCTAGGCCACTGGCATCTGGTTGGTAGGTGTTGGGGGGTAAACACATACCACACACTGCCACCTGTGCCACGCTCTGGGAGCCGGTGGCGTGAGCTTCCATTCCGGAGCGGAGCCAGCAGGCCACAGCCTGGGCCCGTGCAGCCCATGCCTGTTTCTGTAAATAATGTTTTATCTACAGACGTCCACACCCATTCAATTAAGAGTTGTTTAGGGCTGCTTTGGCCATACAGTTGCAAATGAGCTGAAATGCCAGGATGCTCAACATCTGGCTCTTGATGTTTGCCAGTCCCTGTTCTAGGGTTCATTAGGCCAACTGGATGTGGACACATTAAAATATCTCTGATTGGAAAGAGATTAGAATGGGGAATGTGGTTATCCTTTGGCTTTTCTTTCCTATTTCCAGGAGACAGCAATTAATGAGGGGGAGCTCCCTCCCCATATCCTAATTAAGGTCATGGTCATACAATAGAAGCACCCTTTTTGGGTCATGGATCCTGTGTCTTCAATCTGAGACATGGCTTGGGACTTTTCAAGCACCACTGGAAATAGGAAGGGGCTTCACACTGTACTGTATTTCTGAGCCTTCAGTAGCTCAGCTCAGTGGAGCCTTTTGGTTGGTGATGCTGGGGCAAGGCTGAGGGACTTGTCTATGAATGGTTTGGAAAATTCACAAATCATTCATAAGACATTCCCATCCCATCCTGGGATGGCCTGACTGGTACCCACTCTCCCAAGGCCCCTCTCCTCCTGGGGCTCCCCTGCCACCTCTGTCCTGCTGCTGGGGTCTCAGACCCAGCCAGGGCTCTTCTTCGGCTGTGTGCTTTCCCCCACCCTCCCACTGGGATCAGCCCCACCCTGGCTGTGGCCCTCCCTCCACGTCCACCCTGCCTTGTGGTATAGTTACCAGCCATCCTCTCAGCTAGAGCAACCATCTGATAGGCACCTTGCTCTGCCACTCTATCAGTTAACACGTTTTCTTGGAGGTTGTACTCCAAAGTTTTTATAGAATCAATAAATAATATAACTTCTGAAGTAGAAAAGATAGCCAGAAACATACTGCTACTTCCAAGACAACAAGCAGTTGACATCACTATCCTAACACTTTCTGTGGGCGACTGTTTTCAGCCTTCCCAGCAGCCCGGAGGGGTCAAAGCTCTTCTAACCCCCATCCTAGGGAGACAGAGCAGGAGCCATCATGGTTAGAGCAGCTGCCCCAACTGATGCAGCTCTAGCCTGGATTATCGGGCTCTGGAAGGCCAGCTCATAGGCTTTCACTCTGTGGGGCAGTCAAGACACAGTGGGTCATGAGATCAATTTAGTAGGGCATCAACCAGCGTTAAAAAAAAAAAACGAGTAAAGAGATCAGAGGGAAGGTATCATATATAGGGAGGGCAGGGACTCCTATGTTTCAGTGTGTGTATACATGTTGTACATATGCAGAGTTACATTTGTACACATGAACACATACATTTGTCTGTGCTGGCCATCGCTCTGTCCCACACCATTTCCCTGATGCCTGTCACATAGTTGGCTGCCATGAATGTGTTTGGAATAAATGAGCCACCAGCCTCATAGCCAGATGCCTTTTGGATCCAGACTGCAAGTCTGCTCAGGTCTCCCAGAAGGCTCAGGCCTGTTACCACAGACATACCCCAGCCACCATCCTGGAGCCGTCATCTGGATTACTCAAGGATTTTAATTCTGTATCATCAGACACAGATCTGATGTGAATCGGCTTGTGCATACCTACCCTTCATTCTTCCCACCCCAAATGCTCAGCCCCTTGCATCGGCCCAGCCCTGAAGAACCAGCTGCACGTGAGCACCTGAGGAGTGTCAGTGTCTGTGCTCTCACCACGCCGTGCGCAGGGAGGCTTCACAGTGGGAATCCATTTCCAGTGGTGTAAGACCCACCTGTGCACACGGGCAGCACTCACATTTTTCTGTTTAGTATCCTTTGAGTGGAAAACTTTGAAAAGCAGATCTTCAAAGTCATTTTTACTGGACTGCAGTATTCAGGGGTGCATACCAGTATGCCGTGCAAGAGTCAACTTCATTGCAATAGCACGGGAAGAATCCACAGATGCTGATCTTCTTTCTTCTTCATCACTTGTCATTGTTCCTATACCAGGCACTGTGCCCAGTATTCCTTGTGGATCAGTCACCCTCCCTACGCTGGTGGCAGTCAGAGCAGGTGAGGAACCAGCCAAGCCCTGGTTCCACCTCCCGACTGCCTGCCTGTCTGCTGCCCAGTGTCTGCACTGGCAGCTCCTGGTGCTGAGTGCACCAGACACTGGCATGAAATGGCTGGAGTGAGTACAGGCACTCGAGGTGCCCAGGACTCTGTGCTCACCACCATGGGCAGCTCTGTGTCTTCCCACTTCTCAGAGCTCTTCCTGGTTCTCTTCTGCCTTCTTGCTCTTTCTCTACTTGCCCACCCTGCTTCCTTTCCACACTGACTTGGACCTTTCTCTCCCTTGACCCTTCCTCTCGGTATTTTGGACCAAAATATGCACTGACTGACCCTAGGCTTTCAGGTGATTCCTAGTATGAATTTGGAGGGACTTGATGAATTTTAATCACAGTTTAAGAAGTCATTGAATTTTTCAACTCTATTTAAACAGTTGAAGTTCAATAAAATGTATTTACAGTGTACAATTTGATCACTTTTGGCAAATGTATATGCCCATGAAATATTAAAAGTAAATGAAGAGACTTGAGAAGCCACAGGAAGAAAACATTGATAAACTCACTACATGTAATTCAGAAATACAAGCAAACCCACCATGAACAAAGTAAAAAAGACAGATTGACAAACTGGAGTGAATATTTGCAATTTCATCAAAGACAAGCTGATCTCCCTAAAATTCAAAAGCATCTAACAAATTAACTCGAAAAAACCAATTATCCAGTAGGAAAACATGGGAAAGAGTACAAACAGTATTCGGGAAGGATTTTATACACATGGAAAAACCACTTAGAACATCTAAGCTGTCCTGACACGACTCCTTCCCCCAGGCTTCCTGTGGGGGCTTTCCCCAGCTCCCCTGCTGGCCGCAGCCCCTCCTAGGACTCTGTGCTCTCTGCTCCAGAAATCCCTCCCCCCCCCCTTGCCCTTTCAGGCCAGTGGGTGGTGGCAGCTTCCACTGTTCCTGGCTGCTGCCCTTAACCCTGCCCCCACCTTTGTAAATAGTCCTATCCCTTAAGCTCTCTCTCAACATTAAAAAACAAAATACCTCCATGAACACCATTTTTCACTCACCAAAAGCTTAATAACCCAATGGTGGTGCAAGGAAGTGGGAACTTAGATTGTTGGCAGGAGCATAAACTGCTACAACCTCAGGGAAGGCAATTTAGCAATATCTGTCAAAATGGAGATGTGCACAGTGATCCAGAAACTCCACATCTAGGAATTAAGCAGACAAATACCCTCAGAGTGTGACATGACACATGCACCTGGTTTTTCATTGCATCATAGGTTCTTTCAGGCTTTACTATTACAAACCCGATGTCCATCTGTAAGGGTCTGGTTAAGTCATGGAACAATAGAGTATCCTACAACTGTTAATACAAGGAGTGGGAAATCTTCTATACTCATGGGAATGGCAAGTCAAGCTACTCTATTTTATATATATATGTGTGTGTGTGTATATATATATATTTTTTAAATTATACATAATTCATATATACATTAATTGGGGTAAAGATTAATGCAAGTCACACTGTTACTTTTCTTAAACAGGAGGAAAAGGATAAATACAGAGAGTGTGTGTGAAGCACACTGGTACAGTGGCTGCCTCCATGGCAGGAACTGAGGACAGAGTCTGGGACAGACTGGGAAGAACTTCTTACAGTATTTTCTATATTAATTTAGGAAAAGTATTCTAGTTTGAAGAGGTGAGAAATAGAAGCTGACTTTTGTTTTGAGATATGATTTATTGATCAGTCTCCATTTGGTTGGGTCTAAAATAATAGTTACATTTGTCTCCCATCCCTGCTCCCAGCTGGGCTTCGTGTAATCTCCCGGGGAGCCCTTAACATCATTTCGGGTAGGTGCCACTTTTCCTACCACCCAGTTTAAAATTTGGATCTCCTGCCTGGGTCTGGGCTTGTGGGGGTGGCATGTGGCCGGGGGAGGAGAGTCTGATCTTGACTTCTTCTCTCCCCTTCTTCCAGGCCTTGGAGAAAGGGCAGGGGAGGGAAGGAGACAGTGTCGAAGTGGGTCCCTCCAGCCCTCACTGCTGCCCCTCAGGTGGGACGGCTTTCTGTGGGGTGGTGCCCTCTGGGGCAGGCGGCCAGAGCTGGCTCTCCCCAGGAGCCCATCATCTGTTCCTCTGGCCGAGGGGAATAGGAAGGGCCCTGCCAGCATCCGGTTTCCTAAGTTTGAGAAGGCGCAGTGCTCACTTGAGCGAGCGTGGCGCCAGCCTGCAGCACTCCCTCGGCTCCCAGTGGGGGTGGGTTCAGAGAAAGGGCTGAGGGGCAGGAGGACAACTGCCAGGACCCAGCAAGGCCAGTCTCCCCGCCATGCGCTGTGGGGGGAGGCTCGGGCCAGAAGAGACACTGGGTGCCTGCAGGGTGCCAGGTGCTGTCTTGGGTACGTGCAGTGTCCCTGTTGTTTATTTTTAAACAAGTAAAGTAAGTTTTTTTAAAAAAAGGCAAGTTGACCACCACCCCGATTAATGGATTAAAAATGAGCACAAATGTATAGAAGGGACAGCTTTCCCTTTGCAGACTGGCTCCAGCTGCCCAGCACGCAGACTTCATTTTCCTGCTGTCCTCAGTGGAGGAGGCGCTTCCTACAGGAGGGGCGGCCTGTGTCACGGGCCGTGAGGCCCCTCAGTGACCTGGAGATGGGACATTCCACCAGTGCCCACTTTGGAAACACTGACGTCCCCCACCCCATGTGGTGGTAAGTGGCGTGCGAATTGTAGGTCCTTGAGAGTTGGGGGATTAAAAATAAGGATTTTCTTTGTTTCTCAGAGAAATACAAAGAGAAGTAAAAATGCTGCACATGTACAAGAATTATCTGGTGGGCTCAGTCTCCTGCATCTTCTTTGTGATGTCTTTTAAACATCCTGTCACTGAAATATTGAAATGTATTGAGCTCTTTATAATGAAAAGGCTTGTTTGTTTCTGCTTTAAATGGGGTAGGAGTAGGGGGTGGGTTTAGGGGGTTGGTCTGTCCTTCCTGGATGCCATGTTAGCCTTCAGGGATTACAAGACTGGATCTCCTGCTAATCTTGACAATAAAGTACTTCTAACAGAAAGAGGGGTGGAAATGCTGGCTGCAGATTGGTGGAGAAAGAGCCCCTTTCACTCAGCTGTCTCCTGGACCTTCCTCCCTTGTGGCTGGGCTGCCTGCCTCCTGCTGGCCTGGGGGGCCTTGTCCTACCAGGAAATATGCCGTGATTTATATTTTGTTATTTCTGTATGTGTACATAAGATGAAGGAAAGCACAAAAAGAAAAAGAAAATGAGAGGCTAAGCCCTCCATTCTCAAAATCAAATCTACAAATATAATGCACATCCACCACCACCACCCCCGCCACCATATTTTAGAAAGGGAAATAGCAGTCATTGCCAAAGGTATGGTGCGGTCAGATGTCCAAGTATCGGTAGTGAGAGCTTAGTGACAAGGTTCTCCTGTCTGTGCCCTGCCCTAAGAGCTGGTGCCAGCATAGTTCCCGTTTTACCTTTAGGAGAAGTGAGGCTCCTTCCCCAAGTCCCAGAGCAGGCAGAGCAGCCATCTGGGTCCCAACTGTCCCTCCCACCAGAGCACAGTGACTACCTCAGGCCCTTCTCCCATGGAGCTGGCATCCTGTGTTAAAAGTTCAGAGGACCTGGCTGCCTGGAGCCCAGGGCGGCTCCCGCAGAACTCCGGAGCTGACACCTAGGTCTCAGGGGGCACTGTAGCCTGGGTTGGCACCGTACCCTGGCGGAGGATTCTTTCCGAAAGATATTTCTTTTCTTCATTTTTTTTAAGTTTGCTGAATGCTTGTTTATTGTGCAAACAGGGCTGAGACACAATTTGTAGGTTGAGAGAGCTCTGTGAGGCTGTTTCTTTACAACTATCTCCATTCATTCTTAGCTGTTTCCATGTAAATATATTTAGAGTAAAGGAGAGATTGGCCAGGTCAGTGGATAATGTGATTTATAGGAGCCCTAGCCAAAATGTTGAAATTGCTTACATTTTTATCATTGTCACAAATGGATTACTATAACTTGTCTCCCTCTTTTGAAGGCAGTAAAAGCAAGGCGTGATACAAGGAGGCTTTTTAAAAATGTGCATAATCACTTCTGTATATGGCTAATGCTGATGCAGTAATGGAGTATAAAGTGGCAGACTGCTGGCCGGGCGTGACTGAGAGCTTTGATTCTTTAGAAAAGGCAGGGGCTGGACTCTGGGAGAGACGCCCTGCCCCTGGCTGCAGGGGACGCCCTTGCACGGGCGGTGCTGCCTCCATCCCCGGGGCGGCAGTGCTGGTGTCAGACTCTTAACACAGTCTCCGCAGACGGGCTGCAGGGGAGGGGTGTCCTGGCTACTTCCTGCAGATAAACCTTTAGTGAAGTGCATCTTTTAAGAGAATGGCATTCACTGTTAGCTTGTCTGTTTTCAGTATGTTGTGTAAACCTAGACGCACATGGCCACACAACAGACACCCCCCCTCCCCAGACATCAAGGGTGTCCTGCGCTTGCTCCTTCCCCAAACTCTCAAACAGGGCTCTGCCTTGCCTCTTCTAGGGCTCAGAAAGCAGCATCTTCCCCCTTACTGTGTTACAGTCGGCAGCACTGGAGCGAATCTGCTGTTACAGGAAATTAGGTGGCCGTGGCTTCAAAGGGAACCTTCCTTGACAGCACACTGTGGGGATGCGCCTTGAATTTCCTAGTTATGTTTTGCATTTCGTATCTGTTATCTTGGAAAATCGAGTTTGAAACAGGGAACAGCTAACTGAAACATACACTTTTCCCCACCTAAAATTGACAGTCAGCTCTCATAATTAGAAATGTTGTTCCTTTCTTTAAAAAAGAAATTAAACTAAAATGAAATTTAAAACTAAAAGTGCCAACAGTACTAATGCACTCAGAGTAACTTTTTATAATGCAGAAGTCTCCTTATCATGAAACTTGTAAGGCTGGGGAACCTGCCAACTGGATCTGCTTACTGGATTTTCTCTCGTGCCCAAGGTCCGCCACCGGTGGTGTGAGCTCATCGTTAAGCACAAGTACACGGCAGCGTACAGAAGCGTGGAGAGATTCCTTCAGGAGGACCAGGTAAGTAGTTTAATTCTTTAGCAGATGGGGATTCTTTACATGTTGCACCCTGCCTGTCGGGGACCACACAGGAACCCAAGTTCTTGACGTCTTTTTCATAACAAATAATTAAATATTTTCCAGAGATTTTTTAAGTACTAGGTAGGATCTTACACTCTGAGCTGATTTTCCCCCTATTCTCGGTGTCCCTTTGAAGCAGTGAGTTATGCTCCCTACCGGCCCCCTTGGCTTTCCTTGGCTGTGGCCCCGCTGTCACCAGATGAAGGTGCTCAGGCTTTGCCATGTCTCGGGACCCTCCCGGGCCACAGTTGCGGCTTAGTGACGCCGAGGTGTACAGTCACGTCCCCAGTAGCCCTCAGAGCACATGTGCAGCTTAGATGGGGAGAGCCCCAGCTAGCCAGGGCCGTCTGGTCTGTGGCTGCGCCTGCAGTGCTGGGCCCAGCCTTCCTGTGAGGACCTCGCTCACTATTTGCCAAGGAAAGTGACCACCTTCCTAGCAGCCCACAGGAAGTAGATGTGTATGGCCGTATCTGGGGATGTCCTTGTTGGCTGTCTCTCACATCTCAGTGTGCATCGGGGTCACCACTCAGGGTGCCTCCTGTGACACATGCGGCCTCCGGCACCCCCTGCCTGCCTCCACCAGCACGTGCCTGGGAACGAGCCCTCTGCCCAGCACTGTAGGCTGACGGAATGGAGCTGCGTTTCAGTTGGGGTGGACGGTGGGGGTGGAGCAAACAGAAGGGCCTTTGATGGGGTCTCAGTGTGGGGGGCAGCCAGCCAGCAGCGCCTCAGGCCTTGTTATTTCCACAAAGAAAAGGACACGGCTTTGTACCAGAAGAAATGTCACATTTGCACAGTGGAGACAGAGGCATTTGGAAAAACATGGGAATATACGAAGGACAGAATTTAAGAGCAACTTTCGGTCTATTCTGAAGACCAAAATTCATGGCACTATATTTAGAGCCATGATCTTTGCCAGATAAGGATCATTGTGTCTCAGCTTTTCTGGGAAAGCACTTCGAACCCTTAACTACTGAGTTTTTATCTTGTGCTATCTTTGAGATCCTTCTTTTAATTTGCTCCAGCAGAATGTAATTCGTGGCATAACCAAGCTCAAACGAGAGCAGGCGGAACCCAGGGGTCCTTTGGTCTTCCAGAACATCATTGGCTGTTTTAAAAATGTGGGAAAAGCGCAGATGTGTGTCTTTGCAGCATTGTTCTCAAAACAGAAAGGCCAGTGTTGGCTACGGTTGTGGGGCTAGTTGAGGGCGAGGGGTCAGGTGGGGCTGCAGGGACAGGCGTCTTTGTTGGGGTGGTGCACGAGCCTCCCGCGTGGGCAGCTGCTGTGTGCTGTGATCTCCATTTCCCCGAGTAGGCGGTGGACTTGCTGCTCCTGGGGGACCCCTGGGACACACCTTTCTGGGAAACAGCGCCGTGTGCCTATCTGCACACAGGTTCTCCATAGCAGTCATAATGGAAACTCAGTCTCTGTCCAGAGCATCCTGACACCATTATCACTGTGGAAATGCTCAGTTGTCGCTCTTTCACCACTGAAATCACCAGAGTCCATTGACAGCATTGATAGCTAAGAATTCGTTGGGGTTTTGATGAGAACAAGGGAAAGACAGGGTTGAAAACGGCAGATTCCAGAAATACAGCTAATCAACTGTTGTATCTTTTCTAGGGTCTTTATAATTTCCAGACCAACAAGTTTGTGTGCTGGACCCGTACGTAATTCCTTTCTGTAACGTGCTCTGGCCTCTGTGCCCGCAGGCCATGGGCGTGTACCTCTACGGGGAGCTGATGGTGAGCGAGGACGCCAGGCAGCAGCAGCTTGCCCGCAGGTGCTTTGAGCTGGCCAAGGGACAGATGGACAGATCCTCAGCCAAGGTGGTGGCCGAAATGTTATTTTAAAGAGGTGATTCTCTCCCTTTCTTTTCTGTCATTTGGTTCTAACCAGATATGCCTCTCAGGAGCCACATAAACCAATAAGCCAAGCAGTGAGCCAAGACCTCCCGCAGCGTCACTGGTTTGCTCCCTTTCCGGGTGCCTGTGGTGGCATGAAGGCCCCAGGTCCTGGACTGTCCCGTGTGGGCACTGCAGTCCCTGGGAGACAGAGGCTGTCACCTGGAGGCAGAACAGCCCTCCTTGGCACCATTTTGGCCACTTTGAGTTTTATAATCTGTATAGGAACAAAAATTGCGGGAGAACATTGTGAGTAGGTTCAGAGAAGGGATGGGAAACCCAGTGAAAGTGCTAATCCATAGTCTTCAAGGTCAAAGCTGACCCAGGAGTAAGTGGCCCTGTCACTCCAAATCCCAGCTTCTGGTGCAGGCGTTCTCTCCTCCTAGCGTGGGCTTGAGGTTCCTCGGCTGCCTGCGCCTGGCCCGCAGGCTGGCAGGAGGTCTTCCCAGCCACAGGCGCCACTCGCTTGCTCCCGTGTCTTGAGGGCAGGTCTTATTTTTCGCCTTGCTGTGTTGGAGCAGAATGTCCCCCTGGCATGGAGTGAGAATCCTAGATTATTTACATTGCGTCCTCTGTTAATTGTGCCTCGAATTAACCTGTTGGATTTACTTCCTAGCAGTTAATTTTTTTTTTCTATTGCAGCATATTATGGGGGTACAAACGTTAAGGTTATATATATTGCCCATGCCCCCCTCCCCCTCGAGTCAGAACTTTCAATAGCAGTTAATTTTTATATGTGGGTTTCTCCACTATTATTGTAATTTAGCAGTGGTACATAAAGTTTTGCTAAGTAGAACTGTGGTATTCTAAGTGTATTGTTTTCCCTAACAGTCATTATCATTTCTGTGTCTTCTCAGTTTTTCTTCAAGGTTTTACATGATATAATAGGGTATGTGTAATTTTGTATCATTTTTGTAACTTAGCATCAAATCTCAAGCATTTTTCATGTTGTTACATAGCTTCTCTACAAATATAATTTTTAATGCATGTCAAATATTTTGTGTTGATATTCTTGTTAGCCCAATATTGGACATTCAGTTTGCTTCTAACATTTTGCTCTTATAAAAACCATTTCTGTCTAATATGTTTAAGTATTTTATTGATCTGAAAGAACTCTAATAGTGAAGAGAAAAAAAAAGTTTTTCTAAAGTATGGTCATGTTCTTCCAGAACAGTGGGGAGCCATGTTTGCCAGGAGAAGGAAACATGGGGACAGCTGTAGTGGTTGTGCATCCTGTAGGGACACAGCCGCATGCAGACGTTCCCCACACGCCCCTTCAGGTGGTTTCAGACAGTCCTTAAAGATGCGCCAATTTAAAAACCACAAACAGTCTCACGGTTACCTTGTTGGCCCGCCTCATGGTAATCGGTGTATAAATCATGTTTTACTTTAGATTTTCACTTTCATGGGGAGTGTGTGTGTTTGAGGAGTGTGAAGCTACAGTAAGGCAAACTTTCCCTTTGATTTTTCCTTTTCCAAATTTTGGAGAATCATAGCAGGTGACACAGCTCTTGTGACTCTTCATTGTGACTGTTTCGCCCTGAAGCAGGCGGAGGAGTCGTCCTGGTCACAAGACTGCCATTTCCTTGCCTTCCTCCGAGATCTTCTTCTTGTCCCTGCCCTCTAGGTGAAGCAAGGGTCACAGGCACCCCGGACTCCACTCCAGTGATGAACAGTGACCAGGCTTGCTCCTTAGTCACACAGGGAAACCCCTCCCAGCTTGAGAGAGGCCCTCACGACTTCCCAGACCATTTTGAATCCATGGGGGGGGGGAGGTTGGTGGCAAGATCTTGTCCCCAGGGTTAAAGGCAGTAAACTAAGAACAAGGGTAGCCTCCTTCGATAATTCTGTCACATGGCCAGTCCATGCATTTTTCTTCTGTTCCAAAGCTGCACTGGCATTTTTATGGTCGTCTCCAAGTCCTTTTGATTTAAAAGATTATACTTCTAGGACACTGTCTAAATGAATGGCAGACAGAAATGCCATCCATTCGCTAGCGTAGCAGGCATGGAGGTGGTGTCTTCGCCCTGCGTCCTTCCGAGGAAGCCCAGTGCGTGCAGATGGGAGCGGCCGGCAGGGCACGGCGCTGCTCTCGGGTGCTCTGGCTGCTTGGGTTCCTGGCATGCTGATTTGTGACTTAAGATTAAAATCACATTGCCAGGGATTACCACGCAGCCACGACCTTGGCTGCTCCTCCAGAAACCATAGTCACTCTCTGCAGTTTGGAGAACAGATGCCTCTCATAGCTCTTCTTTGGAAACAAAAGAAACCAACAACCGCAGAAGATGCTCACCGGCTCTTTCTTTATGCCCAGCGATGACCTCTCTAACAAGGTGCAGAGCTTAGCTGATTGGTGAACAGTGATTGGTTTCCGCTTTGTTCACAGTGGCTAAGTTCTGCACCTGAAGAGAAGGTGAGATGGGGCAGTTAAGGTGGAGCCGCTGGGGCAGAGGCGTTGCTGCCGGGGCTGGCCGCCGCCGAGCGTCGGCTCGGGCAGAGCTGATTCTGGAGGACCTCGAGGACTCACTGTCTTCTGTCAAGAACGCAAGCGCTGTACCTGCGGTCCTTAAGTTTATTTACAGAGACATAAATCCACTAATCAGACATCTGTCTGGAAGGTCATATGTATTGAAAGTTGCAAAAAATTATTCTTAAGAACTAAAACCAGATAAGTTGGGTAAGAGCATGCCGTGGCTGATTGCTTGTGAGGAGGGTGCTGTGCTTTCCCAGGTGACTCTTGTCATTTCCCGAGCGCGGTGGGTGAACTGTCTCTTGTGTTTGCAGCCCAGGTCTCTGTGCTCTGCAGCCACCAGCGGCCGGTGCCGCGCAACGCCCCGGCGGAGGCACTGCTTCTCTGGCTGTCGATTGGACCCGCCCTCCGGTGCCTACTGAGCTGATATCAGTTCTCATTTTACACACTGGCTCAGTTCAGCAGGAACAGGAGTCGAGCCCTTGAGCAAAAAGCCTTCCTGTCCGTAAGTGCCCGAGGCCCGGGAGAGCTCGGCCTCCACCCACCGAAGACAGGCCCGAGCACCC